TGATATCTAATTTTTACTTGGATACAGAAACTGATCTCTAGAAGTTCATGTGTAGCAAGTTTGGTGACTGACATTAGGAATGAACCTTAGATTGGCCAGTTTTGCTTCTGTTGTACTTTTTTGTGAGTTCCCGCTGTGACTTTTCTACTCCTAAACATGACAAAACATTGCTGGTTCTGTTTCATGTTGGTCTTCATTCTATCGATTTTTTCATGGAGAGTACTGACATGTTTGACTAATCTTTATTACCAACTTGATGACCTCAGGAAAATGATTCAGAAATAATTTTAGTATCTTTTCAGAGGTTTCTAACTCTGTTATCTCTTTCTCTTGCAATTATGTACTTATTGCAATTGCTTTCATAGGTGTTTATTTATTGGAGTGGTTTTGTGAGTTTGAGTTGGGTTGTGAACAGTTTGAGGTTTTGATCTGTTTGTAGTCCTGATTCTATGGATCCGAGTATATAATCAATGTTTGGTTCAGTTTGATTCAAGAGTTGAAGGAGTTTGTGATGGGAGCTAGTGAATTGGCATGGGATTCACCCTCTGCAACTTATAAGTTATGTGTACTTGTGCTCCGTTCACCTTTTTGCTTTCAATTTTTAGCTGAAGCTACTATGATGCATAACAGTTTACCTACTTTGCACATCCATTAATGCTTGATGTTCTTAGGTTATACAATTTAGCCTCTGTTTGATTCTTACTGTCCCATATTTAGCATGCATTTAGGAGATGGCTCTAGCAGGGGATGTGTACATATTGCAGGTTATTTCACTACTCATTCATTCTAAAGTCTAGCCACATAACACTCAAACAATCTGAATAATAAGGGTTGCAAGCACAAGAATCTTTGTTCTGAGCACACTATGAACTCTAATGTATACATACTGATTCATGAACTCTAATCTGACGAATATGGCTATCTAGTACCTATAGTTCATACTTCAAAGTAATGCATGATGCCACTTCTTCTAATTTATGGTAAAAGGTATGGAAGTGGGAAGAGAGAGAGATACCTCGCCAGTAAACTCTAGTACCAGCACTGTGGTTCAATTCTAGTTTGACCGCCGGAAACCACTCCTCTATGCTTTTCAGTCGGAGCTAGGGCTGGTGCAATCACCGTGAACGCGAGTATCCCTTTCCTCAGAATCGATTCCTCTGCTCCTGCCTCCACCACCGACGGAAGCGGACGTAGATGACTTCCTGTCGTGGTATCCGTTGCCCGATGCAGAGGACTTTCCACCAGCAGCTGAAGAAGCTGCTTCGGCAGCAGCGGCGGAGGAAGACCCCTTCCGCTTCTTGCTGGCCGCTTCTCCCTCCGGGAAGCTGATCCGCGAGAACACACTCGCTTTGCGCTTACGCTCAGCTGCTGCGGAGTCGGAAGCCGTTTTAGCTGAAGATCCACAACACGCGCTCCGAGTTGATGCTCGATTTCCGGTAGCTACAGAGGCTGGAGACGCGAGCAGTGAGTTGGGCGATGAGGTTAGACTTCCGGCAGGCAGCGAGAGAGGTTGGGCGATGCAATGGGCGCAGTGAGTTGGGCCGGCAACGAGAGAGTTGGGGGATGCGATGGGCGCGGTGAGTTGGGCGGTGAGGTTAGATTTCCGGTAGCTAGAGAGGCTGGAGACAGGAGCGGTGAGCTGGGCGCTGAGGCGGTGAGGTTCATTTTCGGTGAGGTTCGATTTTGGTGAGGTTCGATTTCCGGGTGGTACAGAGGCTAGGAACGCGAGCTGTAATGGGCTTCGATGGAGGGAATCAATGGGCTTCTAGGAGGGAACTGGCGGCCCAGTCAGTCTAATTAATTGACTGTGGCGGGAATTGACTATGTGCTCCCTCCGTGGATTGCGCACAACGCAGGAAAAACCAATCTAAGGGGGTTCTGCCCCAGAAAGTCTTTATAGTTATGTTGGGATTATTTGTACGTCAACAAGGTAACCCACTATTCCTATTCCTATTGTGTTCTGTTTTTCTGGGTTTCTAACCTGCAAGGAAGAAGCTTGTTACGGTGATTGTGTTTTTAGGGTTTTCTCATAAAAGGAATAGAACGCAAGAACACTCAAAGGAAATAAGAAGAAAATAGCAAACTAAGAACAAAAGCTAACTATTGGGTTCCAATCTTCTTATCATTAAACGAACGAAACAAGTACATATTTATAGGCATAGAAGCATCTACCTTTTCCTATCTAGGACTTGACTCCTATTACTACAAGGAAACAACTAACAATGACCAAATACTACTTAAACAGGGGAAACACTAATTAAGACAATAATAATAAAGACCCAATAATACCCAACGAACTAATAATAAAATACTAAAGATACGCAAGCCCAATCTTCTACGAAATACTACGATGGCCCGATCTCGTAACAAAGATTCACCTCAAAAAGGAGCGGGGAAGAAAGCATATACTGGTACACACCACCATATCAGCGGAACTGCATGCCCCTCCGATCGCACTTCTGATGCTTCTTAGTCATTGAGGAGTGCCAGGGTATAATTTCGGATTGATGGAAGGCCGATTTCTTCTAGCACACATATGATTCTATGTGTTTTTCTGGTATTTTTTTCGTTAGTTTTTCCAATCATTTGGACTTTTGGTTAATATGAATCTTTGTGTGGAGATCTCGTTTTTGGACTTGCGATTAAGTCCTGTCCCCGCCGTTTGCCGAATCCCCTGTTTCTCAACACCATAGGAGCGGTTCCTTTGAAATTTCGGTGGGAGGAGTTCACCTCTGACCACGAAATTCTTTGTCGGAGAAGCCAAGCCGCGGTGTCGAGTAATATGGTATGTAATAATTGATATAATAGATGATTTGAAATGCATGAAATGATTGTTTTTTACTTTAGTTATGCACATAGCATTTTTGAAAGTGATCCAACTGTGCATAATGTGTTTAGACTTCCATGAAAAGTGAAAAAAATAATATAAGCATTACATAATTAATGAAAAAAATATAACTAATTGTCATTCATTACTTAACTAGCGTGGGCCCCGACCATTTGGTCGGAGGAAGGTGAGGTATGAAATTTGATAATATAATGGGGTGTATAGCTTATTGTTGTATAGTTTTTTTTTTTTTTTTTTTTGCAAACATGTGATAAAAATAGTAAATTTTAGTAGGAATGAGACATGAATGATGCAACGAATCAAAAATCAGTCTTATGAACCAAAATCAAGTATCTGTTACCTTGTGAAACAATATTATTTCTGGTAATATGATGAGGTGGAGTAAGTTTTATAGAAACCGAATTCCAAAAAATCGAATAAAAAATCGTCTATCCCGCAGGTTTTCGGGAAATGAGCATCTCACAATCGTTGCTAGCTTTTACACTGTCCGTTGACCGATTAATTTGCTTTATAAAACTTTCATCTTGTCATCATTGTGGTTTCTGGTTTTTTGCCAAGACATGATAAAATCTAAAGAAATCAAGAATGAACAACACGATTTGGTATAGGAACCACCGTTCCTGTATCCCTAGAAAATGGTGGTAAACACGGACTCACCTGCCAAACTGGTTTGGAATGAGATTTTTATCGGGTATCGGGGAACCATGTGATTATAAATTAGACTTGATCAAAACGGGCCAAAACTTGAAATTCAGCATGTTTGACCGACCCATGCCAATCTCTAATTATTCTTTACTTTTAAACTTTCTATTTGAAAACAAAAAATAATGAAAGAAAAGAGATTATTGCAATTCGCCATTTGCACATCATTGATTCGGGAATAAAACTATAGAATTTCGAAAGGAAACTGAAAATGTTTAGGATCGTTTTAATGTTAAAAATAATCAAATAGATCTTCTGTTTAGTTTTTTACTAACAATACCAAACGATTCCCTATAATATACACTATAATTTAATCATTATGATATCAAATAATTACATAATATATATTTGAAATGATAAAAATTGGACTAATTGGGTTGGTCGAGGTTTAACCATTGAATAACTTTAAATACATTATATTTTAGCCACTGAGATATAAAATAATAGCATAATATATATTATGCTAGAGAAAATAGCTTGTTTTAGAATGACAAACCCATGATGTTCATTTGTTTAATTGATGGGCAAATCTCGTGTAGGTCAGGCCCATTCAACTCTTTTATTTAACGATTAGCGGTTAGCCCATTATAATCCATGCATTAGTTTATTGTTAAATTTTTCTTTTTAGCAATAAAGAGGAGTATTGTTTTTGTCTTTTCATATATATTTTACCACCACGGAGAAATAAAAGGACTTAAAGAAAAAAATTGTCACTCCTGGACCCGTTTTAAATCCGCATGTGTACGGTAAGTTAGCCCGTTCCACAGAGGAAAAAGAAAAAAATTGACACTCCCTATTCTACCCTTCCTACAAACGCTCCTGGAGCAGGGAATTTGAAATGAGGGAAAGGTTTTTTCCTCTCTGCAATTATATGTTTTTAATTTAATAAGAAACAACAAATGTACTTAGTGTGATTGGTTATGATCTTTGCTTTTCTTTAAAGTGGTCATGGTTCGAATCCTAGTAAGTGTCTTTTTAATGAATAAAAAAAGTAATTGTGAAGACCAAAATGTCCTTCCTACTTTCCACTCTGGATGCAGGAAATTTGAAATGGGGCTTCATGTTTTCTCATTTGGCTGACATAATTTTTTCAAATAAGACGTTTAATTAAATGAAATCCTAAAAACCCTACTTCTTATCTTCTTCTTCGAGAGCCCTCTCTTTTCTCCAACCCTCACTCCTTTTCCTTCACCACCATTTGCCAGAACCTTCTCGTCTTCCTCTCCTCCTATAATTACCCTTCTTTCTACATCGTATTTGCTAATCATAGTTCAATTCTGCAAAACCCTTTTCTCTAATTCCTTTAATCAATCGAATTTGCAATCTACGATGGTGGATGAAGCTAAAGCAAAGGGTAACGCGGTGTTCTCCGCCGACGATCCCCTTGCATTCCGTTTGAACCTGTGTAACATCAAAGCTCAGAGAAACACCCCCTTTGTTTCCACCATTATACCAAGAACATAATTCCTCTTATTTACAAACAAATGCTCGTATAGTGTACATGGTATAACCTTTTTTTCTTCTTCTGCAGAGTAATGTAATAACGTATACAGATGAATACACGAGTGCCCTATGGCTTAACAATCAGATGCCAAATAGGTGAAGCCCGAAAGGCAGCAACATACTGTACTCTGACTGACTGAAACACCCCCGTCAATCGACTAACTTGCTAGGCTATTTGAACATCGTGTTAATAACATCTTGGCCACAACACTCTGGTGAACATGTACGTGTAGCTGGCTGGATTCTTCTTCCCTGCTGCCTTATATGTTAAAAAGATTGAAGCCATAACTCCCACCCAGATTGAACCAACATATACAAAATTCAGGGTGGCTTCAGGCTCATCTCTGTACCTGCCGCACGGTTGTGTTGGTATCAATTCTACAATGTAATTGTTTCTTACCCCATTACATGGTTCAGCCTGGCATCGAGGAGCTGAATATTGTCAATCTTTACGCCTGTCATGAACCTGCCGCTTGTGCAGGGAGAGGGAGAGGGAGGAGAGAGGCTTGCTGCTGGCCTCGGACAAAAGAAGCTAGCTCCTCTGGAGCAACTACCAATTTCAGCCACTCTTGCAGCTCTTCCCCTTCTACTTTCTCCTTCTCTGTATACAGTGGGCACCAAGTTAGAGCTCCTTCTTGACTACTTTATAAATCAATGTGTCAACAAAAAAATGGGAATCAGCAGATTACCTTCCAGATGAGCACCGAGCCCTTCCAAGACAGTAGGATTAGCACGAATGACACAGATTGCCACATCCATTGCAGATTGTAGCATTTCCTTCACCTCCCTTTGAACTAGATCAACGAGATGGCCCTGCTTTATAGCATACCCCGTTAACGGAAGCATACAAGGTTGGTAGAGGCAGATTGAGTGTGACATAACATTAATAAGAGCACGCCCAACCAATGATTACCTGCTCCCTTCCCCATGGACTACCTCCAGACTCAGCAATCCCACTTCCGGAGAGTGTCCCAACAGATACAGGACCAATGGTATGATTGAGACCATATTCAGCTATTGCCTTGTATGCCATGTCGGTAGCTCGCCTAATATCATCTATTGCACCGGTAGACACACGCCCTGAGTACACCACGTCTTCTGCTGCACGCCCTCCAAGAAGGGTGACCAAACGACCACGCAACTCATCGATAAAAAGTAAATATCTGTCCTCGTTGGTTGGTGGTGTATAAGTAAACCCCAATGCGCCACCCGTCCTTGGTAGTATGCTTAGCTTCTGCATATATGACATCATTTAACAACTGTTACCTTGACAGGCACACACGATTTCCAAATAGCAAATGGAACACTTCAGCTAGTTCCTTTCGGCTTAAGAAATGATGATGATTTTCACCTCCACACGCGGCTGTCCAGGGAGGAGGCTCGCAACAGCAGTGCCCACTACTGCATGACCTGCTTCATGACGTGCAACAACGGCCCTCTCGCTCCCTTGCAGCTTGGCTGTCTTCTTTTCTATGCCCTAAAATAATTGGGAGTTATTCAGTAAGTTTTTTTCCTCCTTATAGATCATTCCAATCTGCACAATTTTCTTCGGTCAAACATGGCATAAGTATGCAGACAAGATCAAATGCATGAAATCCTCATAAATTCTAGGAGCAACGAATACCCAGGATTCTCTCCTATTGGGCACCAATGCACACAATTTCAAAGGTAGTTCATTTCATACAAAAACCTTCCACAATCAGTAAGTACAATAAAAATAAACAAATGCTAGACTAGCTTTCATCGAATGAAACCATGAGCTCCATTGATTGCAATTGTCCATCGATCTATCACAGCATTACGGAAAAACTCGATATGGTGACAGAGAGAGAAAGAGAGAGGAAGAGCTTACCCCTATAGACCGTTCTACAGCCTGAATGAAATCGATTTTCTCTACCAATGATTTGTTTTTCCTTCCAGCCAATAGAGCAGCTTCATTAACTATATTAGCAAGATCAGCCCTGCATGACATGAAAACCATAATTTTGCCTCCAAATCCAGCCTATGACGAGATAGCAAATCTACCACAGAATTGGAATTTACCCAGTAAAGCCAGTGGTCATTGATGCGACGTCACTAAGGTTGACATCCTTTCCTAAAGGAAGCTCCTTCTTTGAGGCGTGCACTTCCAAAATGGCCTCTCTTCCCTTCCTATCAGGTGCTTCCACCTGAGATCAAAGTACACAAATTATTCACTCAACTGAGTATAAACATTAAACAGCTCATGCACGGGGCAGTAGTTTCAAAATTATAAGAGAGGAGCAAACTGGAACAAACCATAACTACACGGTCAAATCTACCGGGTCTCAGAAGCGCAGGATCTAATACATCGGAACGATTTGTTGCTCCAAGAACAATTACTGCAGAGTTGCTATCAAATCCATCCATCTCCTGCAACATATGACAAGTCGCTTACAACATGAACATAGTGACATCCTAAGACTCGGCATATATCTTGAAGAAGGAATACAACTGGATGAGGGACTTACAGTAAGCAACTGGTTCAACGTTTGCTCCCGCTCATCATTGCTGACAATGCGAAACTTACCATCACGACTTTTAGCTACTGCATCTATCTGCATATAAGAGAATACAAGCCTGATGTTAAAAGCTGTCAGCATAGCATCCATATCCAATAATGAGAGTCAAGTACAGCTTACCTCATCAATAAATATTATTGATGGTGCCTCTTTCTTCGCTCGAGCAAACAGATCTCTAACTCGCGAAGCACCCATTCCAACATATAACTCTACAAACTCGCTAGCTGAGCAACTAATGAAAGGGACATCAGCTTCTCCAGCAACAGCCTTTGCCAGAAGGGTCTTGCCGGTACCAGGAAGACCAACCTGGAAGACGAACAAGCTCTTGTAACTTACTAGAAGTGAAATATAATTTATACTAGTACAAAAGACATTGGACTCATACAAGGCACAGAGAACAAAGAATATGGTATTGGACACATACATATGTAACATTAGGGAAAAATAGGATGCAGCACCAGATGTGCAGAACAGCACACTAAAAGACCTATGCCAATTGAAGCTTATACAGTTCTGTGAACCCTGGTACAGCAGGTGTTCCCCCAACAAATATAAACAACCAATTTTTAGTACTCACCAGCAGAACACCCCGAGGAGTACGAGCACCAAGTTTTATGTACCTGTCCGGGTTCCTGAGAAATTCCTGGGCAGCAAACATCATTACATAAGACCATTTCCTGAGGTAGTAAAAAGAATTCAAAGAGAGGGAAGAGGATGCAAATAGAATCATAAGTATCAATAGTATGATACCACTATTTCTTCTAACTCTTCCTTAGCCTCATCGACTCCAGCAACATCAGCGAAAGTGATTGCATCTCCTTGTTCAGCAACTTTTGCACCTCCAGAACCACCAGACTTGCGATTCCTAATCTGACCAGCAGAATGCTGCATGACAGATATGCATCTAGTTGTCAGAACCAACTTACGTCCATCAAGCTTGACAACGTCAAAAGAGTAATGTGATAGTCCTCACCTGAGAAAAGCTAACAGGGAATCTATGGAGAAGTCCAGCAAGCACAGCGACATAGAACAAAGCTATCTGGGATTGAAAGGGAAAAACAAACTTGTAAAACTCCACGTTTGGAAAACAGCCCCTAAGCGGATTGATGCAAATAACTGCGTAGTTGGCCCACAAACTGTAGAAAAAAGCATGTGCTCAAGCAATAAAGATATTCATTTTCCTAGTTCAATCTCCATGCATAACTAGTTTGGCAAAAGATGAAGACTTGCACAAGTCTCAAAGAATGGCATTGCCATTTTACGTTAGGCTGCCAACACGATCCATTCAACATGAGGACAAAGCGCCCAGAAATTAATAAACATGACTGGCTTCCTAACCACATGGGTGTATGAGGGCCGTGGTCTGTAAGAGTGTAGCATTTCTGTTTCATACAAATGACGAATTTGTAAATAGCATCACATGCTTCTTTTTCGGTCCGCAAGACTGAAACGAACCTATGTGTCTGCATGAAGAACCGCCCCCATATGCAATTACTTGCATTGCAAATCATGACCACGCGAGCAAACTTCAGCAAACCCGCAAAGACTTTCTACTTGTTGTCGCTTACTAAGCAATACTACTCCATGGTTTATCTAGATCATAACAGCTTGTCACAACCACAACCAAACACGTACTCACCAAAGCTGAGTTGAAAAATCCACCAGACCTCTTATCAGGCGACCCAAACTCCACCTGGTTTTCGAGCATTTTCTCGTAGGGAGTCTTGATATCACTGGGTCTAGTAGTTGTGTACACAATCCTCCTTGTGGTTGGAGCGACGCTCCTTAACAACGGCTCCGACTCCTGCCACCTACCATCAACCACTTCCGCGCTCTCCTGATTTCCGGTTGCCTCATGTTTCAGTTTGAACATAATGTGCACGCCATCAACCTCCACTTTCCGCACCTTGTTGCTAGTAATCTTGCTCAAAAAATCACTGAATGGTACACTAACGAAAGTGGTCGGCGGTTTTGGCTCCGACCCTGGCAACGGAATCCCCGGCCGCAGCAGCCGCATAACGAACATAACAATCCCTAATTGCAAAAGCAACACCCCGACCTCCTGAGCTTCAATCAGAGGCTGCCATTTCCAATTCTGCCGCTTGGACCACCACCACCACCACTCACCTTTCCCTTGCTTCTCCCTCTTCTGCTTCGGACCCGAATTGGGCGTATTCGTGCTGCTAATCTGCTGCCCTTCGGTGTCCGCTATCGGCTCGCTCGAGTTTGCCGTTGAATCGCCGTCCTGACAATTCGCTAATATTCTGTGCTCTCTCAATCTACAATTCCTCCAAACTCCACTTCCCCATAGATCAGAACCTCGCAGAGTTCGGCAGGGCAAAGAACCAGTGAGCAAGTTCACGGGACGAGGGAGCCGCAGCGGATCCCTGTAATGAACCCTAGAATGAGCGCGGAATGGGAAAGAGCGAGTAGGAGCAGGAGGAGGATAACGGTATCTACAATCGGAGTCCGCGTGGAGCCACCTGGAGTGTGGAACCGGCCTCAGAGTCTCAATCATCGACAACATGCTGTTCTTGAAACCCTAACATAACCAGGAGTGTAACCAGATTGGGGAGGAGGAGCAAACGCGCATATCGGAATCGGAAGCGGAATGGCGCTTGGGAGGGTACTGATAGAGCTGCAAGGGACGGTTGGTCGGTTTTCTGTTGGATGGAGGAGACTGGAGAAGGGAAGGTGACTTGGAGGCTGGAGTGGAGGAAGGAAGAGAGAGAGAGAGAGAGAGAGACAGAAGCTCCGTTGGATGGAGGAGAAGGGACGGTCGTTGAAAGATCTTATGATCGTCAACTCTCGGTTCTGTGATGCAGGATAAAATTCCTCGTTATCGAATGCCAGTGCCTTGCTCGTTATCTGACTGTATCCCGTGCACAATGCAAACCATATATGATTAGTTTTTTTTTTAATGTATATTTTTTATTTAAATTCTTTTTAAATTCTTTTATATTATCCAAATCTATCGAAATACTAAGAATTAGCCAAATGTTAACTTTCAGTTAGCAATTTTGTTAGTAATATTGATTTGACAACATGATACTGATCTGGATGAGACACATGAAGGTCAACATTCTAAAATTTTAGCATTTTAACTAGGAAATAGTTACAAAATTATTAACAATAACGTAAAAATAGTTAACATTTTGATGCATTATGAAAGATTTGGATAATTAATAGAATTTTAATAGATTTGGATAATATAAACGAATCCAAAAAAAGTTTGGATAAAAAATAGTCATTACCCCTTTTTTTAACATAGTCAAAGTCGAAAGACCGGGTACAAAGTCAAAGTTAAGAACAAATCCGCAGGCTAAAGTTGACTAATCGTTGAACTTTCGATGAGAGAGTGTTCTTGAAGACAAGATGGGTTGCTCTATTAACTTGATGAGTAACATGAGAGCAAGAACAAAACTCAAAAGATAGTGACAAAAAAGAATATCTTCTAGGATCACGCCACCCGTCACATGATGTGAGTCTCCCGCAAACAGCCGTTGAATCACCAGGTGCGAGTTCCCATACAAGGTGAGCGCATGAAACCCATGAGTTAAGCACCAGTCAAACGCATCCCTCCATGCCAATAAATATGCAAGAAAAGAATCATGGATGCCTCCATAAAACTTACCCATTGCGAACATATCATAATAATATATTGCCTATGTTTGGCCCGGTTTTTATAAGTACTTTTTGGCTTCAAAAAGTGAAACATCACCAAACACCTTTAAAAGCTCGACTTTTGAAAACTATTAGAAGTACATTTAAGAAATAATATTACAAAAAAACCTAAAATTTTAACAAAGTTATCATTTATATTACATTATCTTATCTTTATCTTAACATATATTATTATCGTTGTAGAGAAAGTTTTTGCCACGTAGGATAAAGAAAACTCCACAATTTTCCATGTCATTTTTATCATTTTAACTTTTCAAATTTATTAATTACATTAAAATAAAACTAAATAAACATGTATATCAATCATATTGACCAAGATTTGAACATGTGACCTATGAGTTTATATTATCATCATTTCAAGTGTTCAACCAGTAGGATAAAGTATATTTCATACTATTAATCACATCAAAACATCTATATCAATCACCATAACTAAAATTTAATCATGCAGGGATCGGTTAGCTTGCTAACCCCTCAATAGGGTTGGAAAAATGAGACCCTCTATTAAGTATAGTTAATTATGGTATTAAATTCATGTTGCGTTTAATAATATTTGAGAATTAAAAATTCATATTAATTACATTTCTTTTTTTGACCTACCATTGCACTGATACAACTATCATTGTACTTGTATATTGAAGTCATATTAATTACATTTCTTTTTTTGAACTACCATCGCACTGATACAACTATCATTGCACTTGTATATTGAAGTCATATTAATTACTTTCCTTTTTTTGAACTACCATTGCACTGATACAACTACCATTGCATCTGTATACTGATATCATTGCAGTGGTAGAACTACCATTGCACTGAAAAAGGAAAATAATTAATATGAGTTTTTAATTCAGATAGATTATTAAATGCAACACAAATCAATTACCTTAAAAGTCTATAATTAATATGAGTGTCATTTTTCCAAACCTTTTAGGGGTAGTCATGCTATCTCATCCCAATCATGCAACCTAGGCGCTCAAACTGTAATCATTTCAGTAACCAATAGAGTAAATTTCTTTGATGCAATTAATCGCAACAAGATTAATACTCATGTTATAAAAAATTACAACACATAACATTCTATTTTTATGTAATGGTTTCTATACATTACAGATTACACAACAAAAACTATCACTGATAAAATCTTGTATTTTATTTTTTAGCAATGATAGAAAATAATTAACAACTACAAATAACCTTTTTTTTAAATACATTTGATAATATTTTATAGTTTTTTAAAAATGGTTAAAGAATCCCAAAAGCATGAAATTAGTGGATACAAAATTCTAAACTTTTACATAATTTGATATGTGATTTTTTTCTTTTAAAATTGAAAATGAAAAGGCAAAGAATAATCTTCTTTCGTATTCTAGAAGAAGAAGAATTTAATATATATTTTTTTGTACGAACTACTATATATATGTGAACCCGTACAGTTATGTTGCAATTTTTAGAAAATAGCTACTATATATATTTGAACTAATACACTCTTATCGCGATGTATTAGAAAAATTACAATTTGTGTGTGCTTACTAGATTATTAAGAGATAATAGCATGAAGTAACAATGATGATTAGCTAAGTAAAAAACATAGTCATAATAACATAGTTAAGATTAATCTGACATGTTTCTAAACTTTAATATTAATGAAATATATCAACATAGCTCAATCATATGCTATAATGATACACGACAATTGCATGTGTTTAAGAAAATCACAAATGGTCTTTCTTTTTCAAAATCAAATTATGGTTATATGGCTAAAATATGTTTGTGACCAATTGGTAAAAGAAGTTACAAGAAAGTTATGTACATTTATAAATATGCATTTTGTCATCTTTAGAGATTGAATTTGACATTTCTCGCATATTAAAATGATATCATTATATTTTCTTTTATGTTATTTCAATATCTTTTTTTTTATTTTTCATATGTCATTAAATTTTCTTCCATTCACAAATATAAAATACATTATCTTTACTTTTTTCTAGTATAATTATAATTCCTTTCTTTTCTCTTTTTATTGTTTGACATAGTTCCTTTCTTTTTCCTACATGAGTGTAGCTGTGCAACTAGGTAATAATTATTATTTATAATTTTAATCAATATGTTAACAATTACACGTGTACTGGCATTAGATAAGTGAAAAAGTACAACAATAAATTACTAGGATGAAGAAAATAAGTTTAAAAAAACATCCGAATTCGGATTGGACATTGATCATGTCCACCACCTATTACCCATAATATTTGAATTCGAATTATACCCTATCAATTAGGTTATAACCCTAATATACTGAATAAATACAATGAGACAAATCCTTTGTGTTTGTGCCACGATACCCGTCAAAACTCCTGGAACTTCCCTCCGACTGGCGCCTGCCTACACACACGCACGAAGAGGAGGGCGCCTGGGCCCGTTAATCCTCCGACGCCCAAGTTAGTTCCTTAGAGAGGGAAAAGGTCTAAAAGTAGGAATTCTAGTGAGAGAGTCCAACCTGTGTAAATGCTACCAACTGCCCCTATTTATACTCACCGAACCCGAGGTTGATCTCCTCCACGTCACCGTCTCCATTTAATGCTTTGTACTCTCTTTGTCAGATATCTCAACTGCCTTGTCAGGCTTCTGACGCGTGACAGGCGCCCACAGGCTAAGGACCACCTGACATGCTCTGTACTCTCTTTGTCCGATATCACAACTGCCCTGTCAGGCTTCTGACGCGTGACAGGTGCCCGTAGGCTAAGGACCACCTGACAGCCTGGTCTCCCTTGGCCTTTAGCGTTTTGTCCTCATGCGCCCTTCCTCTTATTTGGGCATTGGGGTATTTCTCAGAACCATTTTTGGGCCTTGCCCCCCCCCCCCCAAATCCTGTTGCCTGGGGGCTCAGATCCCTAGTTGATGGGTAGTACCCCAACACTTTGTTTGACCTTTATTAGAGCATCCAAAATAATGCAATGAAGGTTAATAACATAATTATAAGTATAATTAAATTATATTTTTATAAAGACTAATAAGTGATAACATTCATAAATTATTCATATTATTTGAGTTATATACAAAACACGTTATCTTTTTCTCGGGCGGATGACAGGTTGGATTTTGGCCGAACCTAGACCGAACCCAACCCACCAATTCTTAAAGTGTGTTTTCCCTCACCCAATCCAAAACTCGTCAAGTGGGTTTTACCCACTTTGATCGAATTGGATTGGGCACAAGTTAGTATGGGTTGCATTGTCATCCATCCCTACGGGAAAAAGGGTGTGAGGTGGGAAGCTAAGAATTATTTATTTTATTATTTTTAATTATTATATAATCTATTTAACGGTCAAATTTTATCGTTGACTGCCACATTGGATGAATTTAATGAAATTGGATAGTCAGTGAACAAGAATTTTAAAGTCAGTGACCATTGAGCAATAAAATATTATTGAATGATAAAAATAATAAAAAACAAAGTTCTCTTTGTAAAAACAAAGAAAAAGAAACATTACAATTACAATCTAAGGGCAGGATTCACAGTTATTATCATATACTTGGAACACGTGATCCAGCCCGGATTCATCTACTACTTTCTCCGGGTGGCGCGAACCTGATCCCAAAACTTCCGCCAGCCCGCCAAATTTACAAACGAAACTGTCAAAATCCAACCCGAACCACTGACTCAATCCGCTTATATATATATTAAAGCAATCCCTCCACTTTCCAATTGCTCTCCCGCTCCTTTCCTCCATTTCCCCTTTCGAATCCTCCTTCAAACCCTAACCCTAAGCTCTGCCCGAGAGAAGAATCGCTTGTACAAGATGTTGGAACTCCGCCTGGTGCAGGGATCCCTTCTGAAGAAGGTCATGGATGCCATCAAGGACCTGGTCAATGACGCCAACTTCGACTGCTCGTCGGCCTCCTTCGCTCTCCAGGCCATGGACTCCAGCCACGTCGCCCTTGTGGCTCTGCTCCTAAGAGCCGAGGGTTTCGAGCACTTCCGCTGCGACCGCAACATCTCCATGGGGATGAATCTTGGAAACATGGCGAAGATGCTCAAGTGCGCCGGCAACGATGACATCATCACTATCAAGGGCGACGACGGCAGTGACACTGTCACTTTCATGTTCGAGAGCCCGAGTAATTTCTGCGGCTCCCTTTCCCTTGTTTTCAGTTGTTACCCCTTTCTGTGATTGGTATTTCTGGTTGTTAGGCTGAGAATGTTGGCAGAATTAGGGTTTTGGTTCCTCTTGAGATTTAGGAAGGTTTGGAGGGAGGATCTGCTTCTACAAGAACCCATTTATTGTGCCGTTTTTTTAATATGTCAATGCTTTTTAGGTAAATGCTGAAATTTGCCAATTTCGTTATGTTAGTAAGACTTAGAGTTTGTTAATTTCATGTCTATCAAAGGCCTTTCATCCAGGGCACGTCTTAGTCACAGAAGGCAGTGTGAGTCAAGGTCAAGTCTTCTCCTTGAAGAACCTCAGCTGCTATGCAGAAGATAATGATCTTGTTAAACCGGCCTGTGAATCAGTTCCTTCAGCATTCAATGGCCTGCTAGGAATTAGATAGTTTTAAAAATTTGGAATCTTAATGCTATCTACAATTGTTAAATGTTTTCTTTAATCATTAGAGATGCTATTCTGATTTTAAATCATCGACTCTTGGTTTATCCTAGTTTCAAGAATGAGACTGTGGATTGAAGTTAATGAATCCTTGTAAGGACCCAAATACTATTAGTCACAAAGAAGATAGTGACATGCAATTCAGCTGCCCGAATGCTTCAGAATCTACTGCTGTGATTATAGCCTTTTAGGTTAGAGAGGAAGTTGATATGAAGAATGGTTTGTATCCTTTTGATGTTGATGCAAATATATTTGTGTTGTGATTACACTGAAGTAAGTTCTTGCTGGTCTTTTCTGACTTGTTTGGTTTTATCCTTTATTTTAATACTGAAGCCCAAGACAAAATTGCGGATTTTGAGATGAAACTGATGGACATTGATAGCGAGCACTTGGGAATCCCAGATGCAGAATACCAGGCTATTGTCAGGATGCCTTCAGCCGAGTTTATGAGAATTTGCAAAGATCTTGCCACCATTGGTGACACTGGTAATCTCATTATATTTCCTTTCTGCCAATTGTAGTATCTAGAGTTACCATTGTAATGTTGGTAGCTGAGTGTTGCATTTGCTTTTAGTGGTCATATCGGTGACAAAGGAAGGTGTGAAATTCTCCGCACGGGGTGATATGGGAAGTGCAAACATTGTCCTGAGGCAGAATACTACAGTTGACAAGGTATATTTACTAGAGAAATTGTGAACTTTGAAAAAATGTTAGCTATAGTTTGTAATCTTCCAGAAACAACCACATGACGAGTTTCTTGTTATTTGACTGGTTTTTCTAAAAAAAATACAGCCAGAGGAAGCAACAATCATAGAGATGAACGAGCCAGTCTCCCTTACCTTTGCTTTGAGATACATGAACTCCTTCACAAAGGCAACTCCATTGTCCAATACAGTCACACTTAGTCTGTCCGCAGAACTGCCTATTGTGGTTGAATACAAGATTGCAGAGATGGGCTACATAAGATACTACTTGGCTCCAAAGATCGAGGATGAAGAAGAGGAGACCAAACCGGAAGCATGATACCCTGTTCGTGTTAAAATATATGATCAGTTTCTCATCTTGGACAGACATTGGGTGGTTCTCTCTAGTTTTCCCCAGATTTACTATTTGATGTGATGCTTTTAGTTTTATGTGATGATGCTTGAATCTCACTGAGTTCTATGTTTCTTTACTTAGCTGTTGATTGCTAGTCTGATGATACATTCGAAATTAGATAGTGGTTGTATCTTTTGAAATTGAATCTTAATGGTGACTGCAATCAAACATGTTAGTGATATTATGTCTAATGATGCTTTGTTCAGGGTAAATAGTAAGTTCCTGCTGCCTGACGATCACTTGATTTACAGAAGAAAGTGAGAACAACGTAAGTTACCAAGGATAAAGAAAAGAGTCTCCTAAAATGTGTGTCCATTTCTCAAAATTATGCTTCTAATTCTTCTACATCCCATGCGATGTGAAGATGGGTATCATGTGTTTATCCTTTTGACAAAAATGAAAGCCAACGTTGGTACCTTGGGTTTTCATTCCACCCTACTCTACAAAGCAGCTAGTTCCTTGTTTCCTTTGTTGTGTCTATCTTATGGTTGGTGGTAATGTAAAAAGACTAAAGAGTTGCACACTTTGCTTCTTTTCTTGCTCATTGTAGACGATGACAGATAAGCTTCATAAACATAATTATTTTGTGCATAAATGACTGATATTTATGTATGTATGTGTTTAAATTGCTCTAAATTAGTTCATATTGATCATGGAATGGCCCTAGTGTCATTACCAAGACATGTAGCGATTTAACACAGATTGAAGCTAAGATTGTGAACAAAACAAAGTGCAGTGGCCGAATTCAGGTGCAGTGTCAAAATGCAGATGTGCAGAGGCAAACGTCCAGCATGAGGCCAAACCGATGAAGACCCAAATCGAATTATTGTGGTTGGAATCTTCACTCAACTATCAGCAGCCCTCATAAATTATTGGGATTTGATCATATTTCTTGAAGTGAGCAAATAGATTTGGTGGCTCACCAATAGAGAAAATTATGCAAGAATTTATTGCAAAGAGAGAGTTAAGCTGGCAGCAGCCTTCTCTTGGAAATGGGGTATGCAATCTCCTTGTTTTGGGGGATAAAATCTGCAGAGATGAACTTAAAAGGGGCAGCAACTAGGAGAGGAAGGAAAACACTTTTGGAGACTAGTTTTAGACAGAAAAATCAAAGGAGAGAGCTCACTTTGGCACACTTTGGAGTTGAGCATTTTGAAGAAAGGAAGACTCTTGTAAGTTGGGGATTAACTTCAACACTTAGTACTTTCTCTACTCCTTTGTTTAGGTAATTAGTTGTGATGTTGAACATTATCATGTTTATGTACTTTCTTTCCATCATGAACTAATCCCCCAATTTATGGGGGAAACTTATGGATTTCATTATATAGCCTCGATGTTTTAATCATGACTTGTTTTTCTTCCATTTTCTATCGTGTGGAATTGTTAAACGCTTTGTGTTGATTGGCCACCTTCACAATGATTTGTAGTTTTCTAGGTTAATAACGATAGTGAAAACCTAGTAACCGAACACATTTCATACGACATAATTGCCTATCGAAGTGATAGTGGATTAAATAGGGAATTATGCAGTCATTTCAGGGATATCGTTCTTAAGGCTAATTAATTAAATTCAGTTAACTACGATAGTAGAAATTGTCTTAATTAGTTAGTACGTGGTAGTTCTCGATAGAGATAGCTATCAAATTATAGGTATCCCGATTGTAGGAATATGGATTAAATCGATTGACAAGGGTAAATAAAATTTACTGAGGTAAAATAGTAAAATCTTGTGTTTCCCCCGGAACTCTCCAATATCAATTTCTCCAAAATAGTTCATTTATTGAGTTACTTAATTTGTGCAATCTTTGCAAATCATCACTTGATTACAACCTTTGCAATTCCTATAGTTTCTTGAACTAAATTTGTTAATTATTGAGTTTCACCAATCCCCTAGAGAACGATAATTTTACTTACACTTTATTACTTGTACGACACTGTGCACTTGCAGTTTTGTCGCCACCAATGACAATGAGAGGAAGAAAAGAAGCAAAGTGTGCAACTGGGGTGGAACTGTTTGCCCTTTCACTAGCCCAGAATATCCCCCACAATATAATCGCTAACATCACACATGAGCTCGAAAGTCTTAGATCAATCCGCAGCCATTAAGATGGGTGTTTGCTTGAGTTGTATCTTAAGAAATTCGAAGGAATCTATACAATATTTAGTAAATTCGAATGCGGTTTCCTTTTCTAGGAGCTGATTAAAGTCTTAGGATATTTTTGAGAAGTCCTTGATGAACCGCCACTAGAATCTCGCGTGGTCTAAGAAGCTAGGAACCTTCTTAAGAGATGTGAGGGGAGACAAGTTAGAAATAGTCTCAATTTTAGCTTTGTCGACTCAATCCAATCCCGTGAGATTTTATGACCAAGAATAATGTCCTCGGTCACCATGAAGTGACTCTTCTCCCAACTTAACACAATGTGGATTTCCTCACAACACATTAGGACTTTTTCCATATTTGCTGGACATTGGGAAAAAGGATCCTTGTAAACTAAGAATTTATCCATGAAGAACTCAACCATATTTTCCAAGAGATCGTCGAAGATGGAAGTCATGAAATGCTAGAAGGTTGTTGGAGCATTGCATAGCTCGAATGGGATCTTGCAATATACAAAAGTGCCATAGGGTCACGTCAATGTTGTTTTCTCTTGTCAATCGGGCCAATAGGGACCTCGAAGTATCCCAGCGCGCCATCTGAAAAACAATAATACCAATTCCCAACTAGTCTCTCTAGCAGCTGGTCAACAGACGACAACGAGAAATGATCCTTTCAGGTGGCGTCATTTAACTTTCTATAGTCAATGCATATGTGTCACCCTATAACTGTCCGAGTAGGGATCAAATCCTCGTTATCATTTGGTACCACCATCATTCCTCCTTTCGTGGGAAATACTTGGACAGGGCTAACCCATGGACTATCTGAAATGGGATAGATGATCGCGAAAGTTCTATTGTCCATTTCAAATTTTGCTGAAGATTGGTGTAGTGGCTTACAAACTGTAGTTGCCTCCTGGGATAGTCGTCCATCTTGTTTTCCATGTATCACTACTCAAAAGTAGGGGTGTACATGGGTCGGGTGGTCCGGGTTTAGACGTTTTAATCACCCGACCCATGCACTTCGGTTTGGGAAATATTAAACCCAAACCCACCCAAAAAAAATCTAAACCCGACGGTTTGTTTCTAATTGGGTTGGATCGGGTTGACGATATTTTTAAGTAAAAACCCAACCCAACACAAAATATGTAATTATTCTACATCATAAAAATATTTTATAACTAATTAAAAATTCAAACGAATAAACCAAGGAGAAAGGTATCAAAATTCACAAATGTTGTTTGAATTTTAATAAAATTTGATTTACTTCAACTTATGTCTAGTTTTTTTCATGACATTTTTTGAAATAGGCTAAAAAGGTTACAAATGAACGCATCCAAAATATGTTATTCTATTAAAATTGTACACAAGAAAAAAAATCACGTGAATCATAGCTATATTAAATTTATGTCTAAACTTTAAGCCGAACAATGTATTAGATTAGGGAGACCTTAAGAGAATAACATGGCAAAATATCTTAATTTTCTCATAAGTATGACTATATACGACATAAATATTTTTTTTGGATACGAACTCATACTAATAATTGGAACACGGGTTGGGTCGGGTTCTACGGGTTGTGTAATCCAAAATCCAAACCCAACCCAAAAGAGGCGGGTTGTACAAAAGAAAATCCTCACCCAACCCAAAACCTTCGTTTTAGCGAGAAATACGGGTGTGTTGGGTTGGGTTGGACGGGTGGGTCGGTTTGCGGGTGTGTTTGTTCACACTAAGGGATAGAGGTAACCAATTGTAGACTCAGCCTACACTGAGTTGATTGATGCTGGCAGTTTGAAGATTGAACCAACGGTAGTCTTGGCTCGTGGATTTGTAGTAAGGGAAAATCAAGCCGCTACCAAATTCTGGTTAAGTGGACTCAGCAATCTTAGGGAGATGTTACTTGGGAGTACTTGGATGAATTCAAGCTTAAGTGCAACATTTAGAAATTGAGGGCAAGTATGTGGTTAAGGAAAGGGGAGTTGTAACAGCTGAGACTGAGACTTGTATGTGAGGAATTAGAAGCTAATTGTAACAAAATAGAATATTGGAGGACTAAACTATAAATGTAAATGAACGGGTATAAATACCCCGCCTAAGCCACCATGACATTAATGAATCTAATAACAGATATCCCCCAATTCTCTTTTTTTCCCCATTTTATTATGAGCTCTGCTCGCTTCATTGCCGAATCACCTTCATTTCGCTAAGAATCTCCATCGATTGTTTTGGGGCGCACACACTTTTGCTTGTGATTCTTGTGTTGCTTTTGCTATGCTACTCCATAATCTTAATTATATTTGTAAAATTATTGTTGTCTTTCTATGGTTGTTGTTATTTAAGTTTTTTTTTCATAAGAAGAGCCAAAACTAGACGGCGAAATGACATGATAAGGCAGTGGCATGCCTTCTTAGAAAGAAGAGGAGAGAAAAAGCATATCTGCTATGAAATAGCTAGAAGAAGAAGACGAAGGGATAGCGGAGACGAAACAAGGAGGAATGCGGCATTTTGTCACAACATACTTTTTTTGCGACACTGACTGGTGATTGAAAGAGAAGGAAATAATAACGAAAATATTAATCTTCGGGATAATTATTCTCGGAAATTAAAATTTGGAGTTTATTTTTTTAATATGACGTGGCAAACAAGTCGAATGACGTGGTGAGTTGGAGCTGAGGTGGGTCCAATATCAAGGTGATTATTTTGTCACAACATACTTTTTTTGCGACACTGACTGGTGATTGAAAGAGAAGGAAAAAATAACGAAAATATTAATCCTCGGGATAATTATTCTCGGGAATTAAAATTTGGAGTTTATTTTTTTAATATGACGTGGCATACAAGTCGAATGACGTGGTGAGTTCGAGCTGAGGTGGGTCCAATATCAAGGTGTCGTTAACTTTATTGTCAAAGTTTCTGAAGTCGTTAATTTTTTTAACAAAAATGGTTATATTTGTCTAACAAGCATCCCAAATCTGATTAAATCTAAGGTTTTAAAAAATTGGCTATTATTGTCCCA